AGTGCACCTGACTGTGCACTTTGCATGGGAGGAGAAATGGCCAGATGTGCGATTATATACTGATTCACGGGCTGTAACTAATGGTTTGGCTGGATGGTCAGGGACATGGAAGAAGCATAATTGGAAAATTGGTGACAAAGAAATCTGAGAAAGAGGTATGTGGATGGATCTCTCTGAGTGGTCAAAAACTGTGAGGATATCTGTATCCCATGTGAGTGCTCACCAATGGGTGACCTCGGCAGAGGATTTTAATAATCAAGTGGATAGGATGAGCCCTTCTGTGCATAGTTCTCAGCCTCTTTCCCCAGTTACACCTGTCATTGCCCAATGGGCCCACGAACAAAGTGGCCATGGTGGCAGGGATGGAGGTTACATATGGGCTCAGGAACATGGACTTCCACTCACCAAGGCTGACCTGGCTACCACCACTGCTGAGTGCCCAATTTGCCAGCAGCAGAGACCAATACTGAGCCCTCAATATGGCACCATTCCTTGGGGTGACCAGCCAGCTACCCGATGGCATGTTGATGATACTGGACCTCTTTCATCATGGAAAGGGCAGAGGTTTGTCCTCACTGGACTAAACACTTATTCCAGATATGGGTTTGCCTATCCTGCATGCAATGCTTCTTCCAAGACTACTATCATCTGTGGACTCACAGAATGTCTTATCCACTGTCATGGTATTCCACACAGCATTGCCTCTGACCAAGGTACTCATTTTATGGCTAAAGAAGTGTGGCAGTGGGTTCATGCTCATGGAATTCACTGGTCTTACCATGTCCCGAATCATCCTGAAGCAGCTGGACTGATAGAACAGAATGGCCTTTTAAAGTCACAATTACAACATCAACTAGGTGACAATACTTTGCAGGGCTGGGGCAAAGTTCTCCAGAAGGCCAAGTATGCCCTGAATCAGTGTCCAATATATATTATTTCTCTCATAGCCAGGATTCACAGGTCCAGGAATCAAGGGGTGGAAGTGGCACCACTCATCATCACCCTTAGAGATCCACTAGCAAAATTTTTGCTTCCTGTTCCCACAACATTACATTCTGCTGGATTAGAGGTCTTAGTTTCAAAGGGAGGAACGCTGCCGCCAGGAAACACAACAGTGATTCCATTAAACAGGAAGATTGTCAACTGGACACTTGGGGCTCCTCCTACCTTTAAGTCAACAGTCTAAGAAGGGAGTTACAGTGTTGGCTGGGGTGACTGACCCAGACTATCAAGATGAAATCAGTCTACTACTCCACAACGGAGGTAAGGAAGCATATGCATGGAACACAGGAGATCTATTAGGGCATCTCTCAGTATTACCACGCCCTGTGGTTGAAGTCAATGGGAAACTATAAGAGCCCAGTCCAGGCAGGACTACAAATGGTCCAGACTCTTCAGGAAGGAAGGTTTGGGTCACTCCACCAGGAAAAAAACCACGACCTGCTGAGGTGCTTGCTGAAGGCAAAGGGAACAGAATGGGTAGTAGAAGGCTAGTCATCCATACCAGCTACAACCAAGTGAACAGCTGCAGAAATGAAGATTGTAATTGTCCTGAGTATTTCCTTCTTCTTTTGTTAAAAACATGTTCGTGCATATATACACTCATACTAAGAAAATATCTTCATTTCATTTCCTTTTCTTGAGACAGAGCCTCACTTTTTTTTTTTTTTTTTTGAGACGGAGTCTCGCTCCGTCGCCTAGGCTGGAGTACAGTGGCAAGATCTCGGCTCACTGCAACCTCTGCCTCCTGGGATCAAGCGATTCTCCTGCCTCAGCCTCCTGAGTAGCTGGGATTACAGGCTTGCGCCACCATGCCTGGCTAATTTTTGTATTTTTAGTAGAGACAGGGTTTTACCATGTTGGCCAGGCTGGTCCTGAACTCCTGACCTCAAGTGAGCCACCCAGCGGGGCCTCCCAAAGTGCTGGGATTGCAGGTGTGAGCCACCATGCCCGACTGTAATATTATTTTTGTGAAAATGTGTTCTGAGGTCTAAACATTCAGCTTACAAATCCCTTTTGCATGAGTGTTTGTAGAGTATGTGAGTGTCGTGAATGTGTGCATGTGAGTATATGAACGTGAATGTGTAAGCGCACAAGTGTAAGTGCATGAGAGTGTGTGCATGCGTAGGAATGTGTGTAAATCTGGTTGTGAGTGTGTGAAAGTGTGACTGTGTGGGGAGGGCTGCAAGTGCTGAGAGCTGTCAACAATGAGGATTTTTATTTCTCCTCACCAATCTCTAGATCCTGCTTTATTTTATCCTCGCCTAAGCCTTATGCAAACTTAAGACAACTCAGGTTGAGACCCTCTATTACTGTCAAAAGCCATTACTCGCCTCGGCCTCCCAAAGTGCTGGGATTGCAGGTGTAAGCCACCACGCCCAGTCTCATTTTATCACGTGATGTAAGATTTACTTCATATCAGCATTTAAGTATTGTTAACTTTATGTAGTAGCATTTGGGCTGGGGACTGGTGTGTTTCCAGTTGTACAAAGGATAGCTGTATTAGATGTAATTATGACCTTATTATTGTCATTATTTGAAGATTATGAATGATCTCAGGAGATGTGTATGTGTTCAACTTGACAAGGGGTGGACTTGTGATGGTTAATACAGTCAACTTGATTGGATTAAAGGATGCAAAGTACTGATCCTGAGTGTGTCTGTGAGAGTGTTACCAAAGGAGATGAACATTTGAGTCAGTAGGCTGGGAAAAGCAGACCCACCCTTAATCTGGGTGGGCACCATCTAATCAGCTGCCAGCACAACTAGAATATAAAGCAAGCAGAAAAACATGAAAAGACTAGATTGGCTTAGCCTCCCAGCCTACAGCTTTCTCCCATGTTGGATGCTTCCTGTCCTCAAACATTGGACTCCAAGTTCTTCAGCTTTGAAACTCGACTGGCTTCCTTTCTCCTCAGCTTGCATATGGCCTATTCTGGGACCTTGTGATCATGTGAGTTAATACTACTCAATAAACTCCTATTATAGATATATGTGTGTGTGTGTGTGTATCTCCTATTAGTTCTGTCCCTCTAGAGAACCTGGACTAATAAAGAGAACGAGATAGAGGAGGAAACAACAAGAGGCCATGACTGTACTTTTTACATATATCAAATATTTGCAAGTCTTGCTAATTCACAATTTGGGTTTATTAGCTAGAAGAATCCCACTACCACAGGCACACTCATCTTCAGTTTATTGTCCAATTTATTTGGACAATACCTATTTATTGTCCAGGTCTGCCATCCTAGCTTCCTGTTGGCCTACAAGTGGGCAGAGTCATTTTTAACCTTTCTTACTGTGAACACACTTCAATTCATTTAGAATTCTTGAAGTCCAGGCCCAGCACCTCTAGGGAAAAATTTAACATTCTATTTTATCCAGGTGTTCACTAACGGTTCCATATTAACTTGCTTCTGCGGATACAGTATAAATTCCTCATGGGCTAAAATCACACCTTCTTTTGTATCTTCCCCTGCACCAACCACTAGCATAGTACTGAATACATAGTTCAAATGCTATTAACTCCACAATGATCTTAACTATGAAGATAGGACTTGAAAAATTCTGAAACTCAGCAAGCTAACCTATAAAAGGATACTAATTTGCTACTTATGTACTGAAATTAAAGCCCTAGTATGATGTTTGGGGTTACCAAACACAGTGATATGGTAATTCTGTGGAGGCCAGCAAGGCCAATGCCATACTTCTCAGGGTAACTGGAATTGTGTCTTCAAAGGAGAAGTAATTCCCACTATCAACTGGGATACACAAGGTATCAGACTTGTGAGAAGAGCCCTTTTGTAGGCTCAAGGAGTGCCAGTGGCATTCAAGGAGGAGGGAAGGAGAGAGGATTTTTGTCCCCAAGCGGCATCTGGCAACATTTTGAGACAGTTTTGGTTGGTAGTGGGGTGCTACTGGGATTTACTGGGTAGAAGCCAGAGATGCTGATAAAATAAACATCCCACAATGCACAGGACAACCTTCCACAACAAAGAATTATCTAGCTTAAAATGTCAATAGTACCAAGGTTGAGAACCCTTTCTTTCGTAGGCAATCAAGAGAATTCTTTGTCCCCTGTGCTCAGACCTGAACTTAGGAGCAAAATCATCTAAGAGCTGTTTCTAAGACAAGTTAGAAAATTGGCACTGTCATCAGGAGGTGGCATCTCTAGTTAAAAAAAAAATGCTGAAATTGAGTAGTCTTATTTTGTATATAAGATTATCCTTATGCTATTCTGTTTTCTACTTTTTTTTTGAGACAGAGTCTTGCTCTTGTCGCCCAGGCTGGAGTGTAATGGCACAATCTTGGCTCACTACAACCTCTGTCTACGGGGTTCAAGCGATTCTCCTGCCTCAGCCTCCTGAACAGCTGGTTTAAAGGTGCCCAGCACCACGCCCAGCTAATTTTTGTATTTTTAGTAGAGATGGGGTTTCGCTATGTTGGCCAGGCTGGTCTCGAACTCCTGACCTCATGATCCACCCTCCCAAAGTGTTGGGATTACAGGCGTGAGCCACCGGGCGCCCAGCCTGTTTTTTACTTTTATGTTTTAGAGATGGGGGTCTCACTGTGTTACCCAGGCTGGAGTGCAGCGGTGCAACTATAGCTCACTGCAGACTTGAACTCCTGGGCTCCAGAGATCCTTCAGCCTCAGCCTCCTCAGTAGCAGCGAGTAGAGGTGTACACAACCACACCCACATTTTTTTTTTTTTTTTGGAGACAGGAGGTCTCACTCTGTCGCCCAGACTGGAGTGCAGTTTTGCAATTTCGGCTCACTGCAAACTCTGCCTCCCTGGTTCAAGCGATTCTCCCACCTCAGCCTCCGGAGTATCTGGGATTACAGGCGTGGGCCATTACACCAGGCTAATTTTTGTATTTTTTGGTAGAGATGGGGTTTCACCATGTTGGCCAGGTTGGTCTCAAATTCCTGGCCTCAAGCAGTCCTTCTGCCTTGGCCTCCCAAAGCACTGGGATTATAGGCATGAGCCACCACACCCAGGTACTACTGTGTGATTTTAATAAACGATGTTTTTTCTTCTATTACAAAAGTATCTTTACATACTTATCTTACCCTAAGCCATTGAAATTGTTCCATTTTAAGTTGTACTGACAAAGGATCCAAATTTACAGTTTCTGCTCAGCTGTGTAGCGAAGTATTCAGGAAAGGGTTACATGTTCACACTTTGAGGCCAAGTGGTAGTGACTCCAAGGACAAAATGAACTGCCAAAAAACTGGGCTGCATAATCCATCCATTTTTCCCAACAGCAGAATCTCCTCCAATTATCAATTCTGGAGATTCTGGGGTTATTCAATTAAGAAGAGTAGCACATATTTCAGTCACATGAGGACACTCTCAAAATACAAGCTGAAAATACAAAATTCCTCATAACGATATCAAGGGCCAACAATGTTTTTTAAAATTTAAGTGGGGCTGAACTGTGTGTAATTGGTGAAATGTTCAAGTTAACAATCGTTACATACGAAATCTCTCACTTCACTGACTTAATTCATTATTTGCTGAATAAACAATAAACTTCCAGTCCGTAGTCAAGAGTTGGCAATCTAGCTGGTAGGACATAACATATAATCATGAAATAGCAAAAACAGTATTCAAAGATTAAATTAGCAATATCCCAAAAAGTGTGTTAGAGTTAGCATAAAGAATTTCTGCATAAAGAATTTGTGATGTAGCTTACCAAGATCTAAACTAAAAAGTCCACAATACAAAAAAGAACAGGGGTGTAATGATGCTGAGTTTTTTTCACCATCCTTGAAATTCTCCCATTAACCACAGCTTTCAGTTTTCAACTGCTCTTCGTCCTTAAATCTTCAGAGTCCCTCCTTTGAATGGGATAGGCAGAGTAGATTAGAAGAAATATATTCCGAGGCTCTCTAATAGTCTCTGGATGATTAACCTTCATGAAAATAACCTCACAGATAAGTAATTAGGAATTTTCACCCCATTTCTATAAACTTGGTAAGTAAACTTTTTTTCTAGCGAACATAACTTGGTATATTAGTGACTGTAGAAAGTCTTTCTACAGCAACAGAAATTACTCTATATCAAGGTTGTTGCAAATTCCTGGCAACTCCGGGCATGTTTAAGTTCTACCACTCATCTGTTCTGACTACATTTTCATCTCATCTGACGGAATAAGCAGCTCATCTCCTTTCCTAGGACTTTTAGTGCTCAATTGTCCCCCTCACTTTAGTTAAGGCCTGCCATGTCCTCCTCTCCGACAGTCCTTGACTTTGCCAATGGCATATTCATCTGCTCAAACAGATGTCACTGCAAAACAAAACAAACTTTTAACAAAAAGGAAATCTGTTTGCATATTTGGGACCTTTCGTATGACAATATAGGACGTGTCCTCAGAAGAATTCACGGAGATTCTTTAAGGTTGGGGGTTTAATCTATTGATATTTTCCTTAGGTAGACAAAGACAACCTCTAAGTGCGCTCAGTTAATCTCTAACCGCTACATCGTCACCCAGGCACTAAGACATAACTAGGGCATAATGAGTTTTGTTTCCACCAGAGGCACCTAGTAACTCCCAGGTTCAATGCTCCCAAGTGGCAGACATGTGATGTGCTCTACTTTTTGGGCTGGGGACATTAACCCAACAAACTATGGTCACAAGGATCACGCGGATATTCTTGGGGACTTGGGGGATGCCTAGCGAAATGCGCTGTGCCTACGCCTCGAACTCTCGCCTGCTCTCCGGTGGGCGGCCTCGAACTCCAGCCTACTCTCCGGCAGCCCACAGCAATGCGCCTGCGAAGACCTTAGGCTTCAAAACTCAGCGCGGCCCACAGCTCGCCTCCAAGTGCGCCCCGCACCGGGCAGGCTTTCGGCGATGACTCGCGTCCCACCCATCTAGCCCTGGCCACGGTCCCAACTCCCGCAGTTCACAGAGGCGGCGGCGGTGGGGAGCGCAGCCGATGCCACATCCCCAGCGGCAAGCTGAGGGAACCTGCCTCCTCTCCGGGGCAACCAAACGATACATCGGTGCCGGAACCGACCTGACGCCGGAGCCCGGCGACGTCCTTACCGTCGCTCTCCAGGCACACGCCCCCGTCAAAGGCGGCTCTGCGGCCCTCTCGCGAGAGAGCGCCCATGGCACCTCCTTCCTCTCAGCTGTCTATCTCTCCCCGCCCCCGGAGTGATTGCGCGGCTTCCTCCAGAGGGCGGGAACGTTGGACGTGGCGGGGCTCGGTCAGCCAGGGCGTTGGGCCTGGGGCGCTCGGCTCAGCCTCTCGGCAGGCTGGCTTTCCGCGCCGCCATAAAGCCCCCGACAAGCCCCACGCCTGCCCAGGTAGACCGGCGCCAGCCCGAGTGACGCGTGGCGTGTGGCCGGGGGCAGGCGGCTCAGTGTGGCAGGGCGGGCGGGCGCCACACCTGTGCGCGCGAGGGTGGGGCGGGAAGGTGCGCAGGCGCGCTCGGGGCTGGTGGGCGGTGGCTCGTGGGAAGTTGCGCAGCCGAACTGGCCGGCTGGGCGCGCGCGCTCGAGGTGGCGTAATCTCTCAGCCTTTCTGTGTCTCCTTTCCTCCGCCTCAGTTTGGGGCGGGTCGGGGGAATGGCTGAGGAGATGGAGTCGTCGCTCGAGGCAAGCTTTTCGTCCAGCGGGGCGGTGTCAGGAGCCTCCGGGTTTTTGCCTCCTGCCCGTTCCCGCATCTTCAAGATAATCGTGATCGGCGACTCCAATGTGGGCAAGACGTGCCTGACCTACCGCTTCTGCGCTGGCCGCTTCCCTGACCGCACCGAGGCCACGATAGGAGTGGATTTCCGAGAACGAGCGGTGGAGATTGATGGGGAGCGGATCAAGGTGAGCGGATGGGGAACTGTTGGGGAGGATGGGATGACAGGTGTCCCAGCCCCACCGTGGGCTGGTCACTGGCCCTGTGCACGGTGTGTGTGTGCTCCATTTTTTTCTCATGGTGATGAGATTGGAGTTGGGGATTGGAAGGATTCATATACTGCAAACTTCTGAGACACTGTTTTTCAGACTTAAGTGTGCATGCGATTTCCCTGGGGATCTAGTTGTTGAAAATGCAGGTTATGATTTGATAATCTCGCGGATGATGCAGGTGCAGCTAGTCCGTGGACCACACTTGAGTTCAAGAGTGTAGGGTTTATCTACCGACCCATTGACTGTGTGTCATGTGCTGGGAGTCAGTGAAATATGAACGAAGGAAAAACAGTGACAGTTCGCTAGCATGGAAAATTCATTTAATCTGTAATAGTTATTAAACATTCATTTGAGCAGTGCCTTAGGTGTTGTGGAAGTAATGCTCATTGCCTTTGAGGAAGTGCTTAGGTATTCTCTTGCATACAGTTTTGCTATGGTAGTTTCTGTATGATACTGATTTTAGAAAAATCTGTTTTCCTGCAGAAATATTCTGTATGTGATAGTTCCTACTCAGGTTGCCAAAAGCATTTCTCACGATGCCACCTCAGACACACTCCTAATTCTTTATTCCCTTTAAGTCGTTATTGATGGTCCCTGGTACTGGGGACACTGAGTGACAGTAATAGTGGAGAAGGTAGTATAGGCCCCAGGGCAGGTTTGAGGTTCTGAAGGGTTGGAATGCAACAGTGAAATGAGGATCAATGACAAGGCTTAGGCCTCTTGATGGTATAAACCTTAGACACACCTTCATAGCAAGCCACCACTAAATGCCACCTGTTGATGCCACTCCTTAAAATATAGGTGGAACTACCCTGCCTTATACCACTGCTTTAAATCAGAGATCATCTTTACCTCAGTCTCTTGGTGGGGAGTGGTGGGAGAACAGGCTTGCTTCAGACATTCCTACCCTCATATCTTTGAGGCAAGAACAATTTATTTTTCAGTTCCCTAATCATCGACCCCCACCCCAATGGGTTATACTGCTAATGATGGTAGAGGTGAACTAAGCAGAGTTAAAAGAAATTAACCTTTCTTTGGTGCTTTTGTCTTTTAATTTTTCACATTAGTATTTCATGTCCCATATGAGCCCTCAGTGGTGGTTTTGGGGGTGCTTTGTATTAGGGAGTTTAGAAAGATTTGTATACTTGCAGAAGAAAAGATGGAATAAAAGGCTAAATATTTTTCACCAGAATTAGGTTTGGCCCAGAAGCCTTTGGGGTGAAAAATAATGGAGCTTCTGAAGTTCGAAGGGAGTTCAGTTTGGGAGAAGCAGGGAATCTGGGAAGTACGTGGGCTTTGGAGCCCCACTAACCTGGATTCAAATCTGAACCTACGAAAGGGTAGGAATGGGCTGTGTGTCCTTACTAGGGTGACAAACTTTGCCCAAGACTGTCCAGGTTTTGAAACTGGGTCTCACATCCCGGGGACTCCCTGTATTGAGCACACCAAAATAGTTGGTCACCATGGACCTTAGGCAGATTCTTTAACCTCTCAGAGTCTGTTTTTTTCTTCTGAAAAATTGGGATCATAATACCTTATTAGGCTGCTCTGAGGATCAGATGAGGGCATATATGAAGCACCTGGTTCATAGTTGGTACCTTTAAAAAGATTCTTTGTCTTTCCTGGTGGCTTAACATTATTTTTCCTATTTGCCACCATTAGTTCTGCAGTTGTACACCCAAAGGTGAAAGCAGAGATAGTGGAGGGCATACGTAGACAGCTAAGGGGAGAAATATTTCAAAAACAAAACAAAAACAAAACGGAAGTAGGAAATTCTTTCAAAAGTGGAGAGAATGAGGGTGGGGGAGGAGTTGGGATTTGAGGGCCCTTTATCTGTTCCTGGGTTGCTGTTTATACTTAAAGATCACAGACGAATCAGGTGCAAATTTAAGAGATAATAGTATTGAAAAAATACAAAGCATATGCAGTGTATAAAGTCAATTACCTAACTACTGAGGTGAGTGCTGGCAGTGATAAATAAGACAGAACCACAGGTATGACAAATCTGGGAGCACAGAGTTGATAATTCTGGTTGGGAAGAGCAAGGAGAAAATATTTTTGGGGGGATTACTTCTACCGAACTTTAGCCTAACCTGTTATATTAATGTGGACTTGGATACTGAGATTGTTTTTCTTCTAAAGCCCTAACCATTGATTTGTGCCACCAGTGGTGAGACTTGAGATTTTTATTGTGGTTGAAATGACTACAGACATGTTCTGAGGTTTCTATAGTAGGAAAAGATATAGCTGTGTTGGGCATTTTTTTTAAAACCACAGAGCTTAATTTTTTTTAGTGCCCTTTTTTTCTAAAACTGAAAAGTGATATAAAGAGCTTTATTCTGTGTGCTGCTTCTGCTGCTTTTCTGTTAACCTGTAATACATCTGAAGTGCTGCTGAAATGTTCGTATTATGTCTTTGGAAAATTGTAGCCTGATCTAAAATGACATTTTTCCTAGTTTTTCATCTTAAAGCTGGAAAGGTCTATGTTACTTTACTAGTAAAATGCCATTCTAGACATTATTTGTTTGATAAAAATGAGATATTGTGTTAAATGTTTTGATAATCGTGGACTAGAAAATTTTCAGAAAGCATGACTTAACGACAGTGCCCTGTCAGAATCTGTTAAAATGTTTTATGAAACGTAAGAAAGCCTATATCTGCTAATCCGTTCCTAAGCAATACGTGTGTGTAATTGAAAGAGGAAAATCTTGTTTGCGAAATTTCGGAAGTCGAATAAAATTATAAAATTAAATTCCTGAAATAAAAATACATTAGGCTTTTAAGTTGAGACTCCTAACTCTAATCCTTACGCTCCTTCCTCGTGTGTGTATCCCCTTCATGACTAATTGTATTCCTTTTGCACAGTCATTTTCCAGTGACAGACACACACCAACCTATTAAAGCCTGGTGTTGTATTTAATCCAGCCTCCCATTAGAGGTCAGCAGTTCCTACTTGAACATTTTAGTCACTTACTTTTTTGTAGCGGTGGAAATGAAATGTTCCCATGTTAAGTGCAATTTAGTTAATATTAACATATTAACTAAAGGAAAATAATCAGGACCTCTCTCCACACTGGTAAAACAAATATTTAATGAGTAATTGCTGGAAAGAAGACATTTTGATAAGCACAGAGAATTATGATACAGTACAAGGGTTAGCAAACTATGCTTGAGGGCCAAAAATGGTCTGTTGCCTGTTTTTACATGGCCACAATCTAAGAATGATTTTTTATATTTTTTAATGTTTAGGGAAAATATCATAAGATTTCATGACACATGAAAATCATATGAAATTCAAAATTCACCTAGGTTGTACTGCTGTAATCCTTCTTATCCTTGTAGTGTCACCCCTCTCCTTTGCTCTCTGAGTCCAATTGGTTTTCCACCTGCACACTTTCTGTTAACTGTCTTGTCTTCAACATTCTAGTTCAAGTCCTTTTTTTAACCTCTCTTTGAAATGTTGGAGCAGCTTAACAGTTGCAGCAGCTCACCTGTTCTCCCAGTCCTCAATTAATCTATTTTGTACATTGTTGCCGAAATGCCAGATTAATGTTGTACTTCAAAGAGATTTATCTCCCCTGACTCAAGTGCCCTGGGTGGTTCCCCATTATATTATAAAATTCCATCTGGGTGTTGTGGCTTGTCCCTGTAGTCCCAGCTACTCCAGAGGCTGAGGTGGGAACATTGCTTGAGGCCAGGAGTTCAAGGGTACAGAGCACTATGATCGAGCCACTCCAACAGAGCCAGATCCTGTCTCTGTCTGCCCCCCACTTTAACACTTTTATTTTAGGTTCAGGGGGTACATGTGCAGATTTGTTGTATAGTTAAATTCATGTCACAGGGCTTTGGTGTACAGATTATTTTGTCACCCACATATTAAGCATAGTACCAATAGGTATTTTTTCTGATCTTCCTCCCACCTTCCACCCTTCAGGAGGCTCCAGTGTGTGTTGTTCCCGTCTTTGTGTCCATGCAGTATTTGGTTTTCTGTTCCTGCATTAGTTTGCTTAGGATAATAGCCTCCGGCTCCATGTTGCTGCAAAGGACATGATCTTGTTCTTTTTATGGTTGCATAGTGTTCCATGGTATGTATATACCACATTGTCTTTATCCCGTCTACTATTGATGGGCATTTAGGCTGATTCCATGTCTTTGCTGTTGTAGATAGTACTGTAATGAACATACATGTGTAGATGTCTTTATGGCAGAATGATTTATGTTTCT